AGCCCTGCCACCAGGTGGAGGGGGAGTAAAAGTTCCGAAAGGACAAAGATTGCATTCAGCCCTGCCACCAGCTGGAGGGGGAGTAAAAGTTCCGAAAGGACAAGATTGTGTTCAGCCCTGCCACCAGCTGGAGGGGGAGTAAAAGTTCCGGAAAGACAAAGTGTGCGTTCAGCCCTGCCACCAGCTGGAGGGGGAGTAAAAGTTCCTAAAGGACAAAGATTGCGTTCAGCCCTGCCACCAGCTGCAGGGGGAGTAAAAGTTCCGGAAAGACAAAGAGTGCGTTCAGCCCTCCCAAAAGCTGCAGGGGGAGTAAAAGTTCCGAAAGGACAAATAGTGCGTTCAGCCGTGCCACCAGCTGCAGGGGGAGTAAAAGTTCCGAAAGGACGAGTGCGTTTAGCTGCAGGGGGAGTAACAGTTCTGAAAGGACAAAGTGTGCGTTCAGCTCTCCCACCAGCTGGAGGGGGAGTAAAAGTTCCGAAAGGACAAAGAGTGCGTTCAGCCCTGCCACCAGCTGGAGGGGGAGTAAAAGTTCCGAAAGGACAACAAGTGCGTTCAGCCCTGCCACCAGCTGCTGGGGGAGTAAAAGTTCCGAAAGGACAACAAGTGCGTTCAGCCCTATTATGTTGCTATTGTTACATTATTTTTGGCAATCAGCATTAAAAATACTCTGTAATTAATACTGTTATTAGAGCTATTATTAATATATAAATGAGGTACTGCATTAATCAATAATCAGGAAGTAAAATGAAGGTGTGCTTATAAAATACATATAAACAAGATGAGATAATTTTGTGATGTTGCTGGAGAAGGGGTGGGGCTTAATACATTTAGGGCCGGATCTATCAAAGGTTTGCGTGTATAAAAACGTGAGCTATTTCACTGCGCACGCTAAAAAATGTACTAACTGATCTATCAACAGCGTGCTAAAAGGATTTGGTCTTTAAAACGTGCTAAATAGCGCCTCTTATCCATTTAGCACTTTTTCTGCAATGAATATGCAATATGGGGCGTTTACACGCAAAAGGGCGTCTTGTGGGAGGAGAACATGTAAATATATTAATTCAGCACTCGCAAAGTGATTTATTAAACCTGAAAGCAATTTTGCTAACGGTATCTGACTCTATATTTAACACGTTTCAAAAGAAGGTGCAATTGGTCTGTATGCGTAATTGCGCACACATGGCAGCGGTGGGTTGCGCAAGAAGGAGACATCGAAATAAAGCAAGGAGACGCAGAGAACACATTTTTTCACTCCGTGTGAATATTTTTGGAATGAACGAGGAAACGATCATCAAAACATATCGTTTATCCAAAAATTTGTATTAAAAAAATATCACTGCTGTTGATACTGCATACCTTGTTATTAATTTATTCGATCATTAAATGGCATTCAATGATGTTATTCATTGTCAAATTTCACTTTTTGGGTAATATTTGTATTAAAAAGAATTATTCAAATAATATCACTCAAGTTAAATCATGAATTTCTTAAAGCTGAAGTCTGTAAGTTTTTAAAAATCACTTTTTTGTCATATTGGCTAAAACTGTCCCTATGCCCAGACAGCAGTACATGTGATATGTAACCTGTGAAAAAAACTGCTTCAATTGGTCCCGCATACTGCCTGTACTTCAATCTGGAAAGAATAATTCGGGACGAGTCAAAACAACCAATCACAGCCAGAGGAGCGTCTGAGCGTCTCACAGCTCCCCCCCCTCACCGCTTAACCTGCCGCAGCCCGGCTGCCGCAGTCAGGAGGACGCCATGACTTCCGCTCCGTGGAAGTCATGGCGGAGCGGGGTGAGAGGGGTGGGGCTTGGAGGTGGGGCATGAGTGAAGCAGAGAGGGTGGGGGAGTGGCGTGAAACCTGTTTATCTTCAAATTTTCAGTCGAAGTCTGCTCTCTTCTCAATGTTACAGACTGCAGCTTTAAAAGAGTTAAAGTAATTAATTGTAGTAAGCAAATACTCTCCACTAGTGGCTTGTTTTTTTGTTTTTTTTGGACAGTATGTTGACAGGAAAGGGGGTATGAGAGAAGGGGAGAGAGATGCAGCAAATGACCACAGGCTGGATTCGAACCCGGGTCAGCTTCGTCGAGGACTAAGGCCTCCGTACATGGGTTGTGTGCGCTAACCATTGCGTGCCACCATAGCGCGCCCTAAGCAAATCCTCTTCAGGTACAAAATCAAACCGGGTACAGGCCGTTCTATTGCAGTATGTAAAGGTCCCCACTTGGATATGTAAATGTTGGTCAGAGATCCAGGTCCTCTCTTGGCAATTGCTTTAAAAATGATTAAAAATCAAATCTTCATTCATATTATGTCAATAGAGCTTTAAAGTACATTTTATTTTGGCTTTTTGCTTTTTCTATAAACTAGAAACAGAAGTCCTCTCTTGGCAGGATAGGCTGACAGTCCACTGTTGGTAGGGTGGGCGTGTAGGTGTGAACAAAATGACAGATAAGAATCAACCTACAAATATAACATGGTCACAAGTTTAGGATCAAAGGTAGCAGATAATGTGTGTGTGTGATTTTATGCATGCATCTGTGCACGTGTGTTTCTGTAAACAAGTGTGACTGTGAGCAAGCAGGTTTAAACGTTTATGTTGAAGCCAGAGGCACACGAATGTGTTAGGTGGTTCTTTCACAGGAAACAATGAGTAAAGCCTTCTGTAAATATATGTGCAAATCTGGCTTAGAAAGCTTTTTCCAGCAAATACAAATGAAATCAAGTTTTCTAAGCAGAGATGACTTTTATTTGTTTTATATTAATATGTTTTTTATGACTGGGGACATTAAAGGCATCATCACTCAGAAATCAGACCTCTTCATGTTAAGGCCTTTGCATTGGCTCAGTGAAAACCTCCTGGATAATCCAGACAGCAGGGTGTGTTTTTTTTTTTTTTTCATGTGGGCTCCATGTTCAAACCAGAAAAGCCAACAATGACGTTTAGATAAAATCCTCCTTTATTTACATAATTTGTGGAAGGGTAAAACGACATCCCTGTGTTATAACTGCAGAGTATATGAGGAAAAAAAAGGAGCACATGAGAAAAGTCATTTTTAAACTTTGAAAGTAATTTTTTATTAGAACCTCACTTCAAAACCTATAAGTATGCCTTTAAATTAAAAGGACAGAGTGGACAAAGAGGGAATAATTGCTGGGTAATTATTCCACAGTTAAAACTGACAGTATACAGCCAGGTCATTTCCAGTGTAACATCACCATAATAGCTGCCCTTGACAAGCTCCATATCCAGCTGGTACTGAAGATGTACGTCTAAATTATACTAATGGTATTGGCAGTCATGAATCAATCAGATCTGCTCAGTATATTCAGCTCTGAATCGGGAAATTCATTCTCAGCGAAGTGGAGGACAATCCATTTCCATTATGAGCCGGTTTTTCAACATAGATTCAGAACACAGGCTGAGAAAAAAAGACATGCATCACTGCTGACAGCTAAAGGAAATATATATATATCTATAAGACCTCTGACATACTCATGCTGCAAATTATTTTCTGTTTATTGTCGCACTGAGCTGCTTGTTGAACAAAACGGGTTCTCCAGCTGGCCTCCAAGGGGTGTACTGCCAAGCCTAAATCTGTCTTCATCTTTAGATACCAAAAGGCTTTTAGCCTTTTAGTGTCTGAACATCAAAGAGTTTGAGAGTAAGAAACCTCTTCCTCTTTAAATAGATCCTGCCCTTATCTCTATATCGAGACCATTTTTAGAAACAATTTTGCTCGTTGCAGGAATACAAGGCAACCCAAGCACTATGGTTTTCAAGTTCTCCTTGCTGTTTGATTTAAAAGATGAGATCACAGAGATTTCCTTTTGTTTTGGTAAGAATCAAATTTTACTTCTTTGTCTGAAAACCCCAGTAAGCAATACTGCAGTATAAAAAAGAGAAAATAAATTAAAATAGAATTAAATAAAGTTAACTGATTATGACCCATTTAACAAAATGATGTGGTTAAATCTCAAAATATGTTTTAAAAAACTGAATAAATAATTTATAGCAAGCTTATGTAACCAGGATAATTTTTCTATATTAGATTCAGTTAATTTTATTTTCCATTTTTAGATTTAATTCTATTTTTTTTTTAAAGGTTTAATTAAAATCCTCCTTTCTTTAATTTATTCAACACTAATCTAGTGAGAACAATACTGTTCTCGCACGGTTTTGACATCATGTGCCAGCTGCACGTCATTGTCCTAATTGACAGCTATGGCTTATATGGCTGCTAACCGCGCCTTAGGTAGGAAATGCTGTTGGACCCTGACGTGCAGGTAGGCTTCTGGTCTGTTCCCAAGTGGTTATCATTAGGGATGGGCAAGTGAAGCCACATGAAGCAATGAAGCTTTCCAACGCAAAGTGTTGAAAAAAGTTCATTACTCGATGCTTCATTCATCACTCACTAGTGACATCTGCTGGTGAAACTGTAACAGCCTTGTTACTCAGTTGGATCATACTTCCAAATATTAGGAAATGCAATATTGTCACAAAGTTTTCACCAAACTCATGTTTAGTAAGAGGAGAATCCTATTCAATTGTCATGTTTTAATGATTAAAATGATTTGTAGCCAATCTAATCCTTGACCATCAGTGGTGGTGTTAAGTTTTCTTTTATGTCATGGACTTATTAGACAATGAAGATGTGTTACTTTAATGTATTGAGAACTGAGTGACTGTTGCTGCAGACTCTGTGTACTTTGAGCTTGAAACGTGCTTCCTTAAAGACAGAATTTGTTTAAAATCATCTCTTCCTAGGAGTTCTAGTTCTGATTCTTAATATTAAGTTACACATATTTGCCTCTTCTAATGGCTTTTAGTCTGGTTTTGATGTGTGATTCTGATGCATCTCCTGATTAAACAAAAGAAAATATAGAAATTTCTGGATTTTAGGTTTAATTGTTTTTATTTAGGAATAGGACTTTTTTCACTGTTTCAGGTTGTGATTGTGATCTGTCATCTCATAATACTCCCACATATGAGAGGTTTTTCTCTTTTTTGACGGCTCCATTTCAACCACTGCTGATGAAAACTGTTCTGCTGATACCAAACCACCTACTACAACCCACGAAGAAATAGGATTAATCGCGCTTTTATTTTGAAAACCGACACGCAAAATGAAGCAGTCACGTGACCAATGCAATGCGAGGCCTCGTTTGTTGCCAGTCACGTGGTTTCCAACAAGACAACACAGGCCTCGAAGCGGGGCTTCATTGACACGCCCCCTTATTACTCTGTACAAGCCTCGAAGCCTGGCTTTATGAAGGACCAACTCTGCCATATTTAAAAATAAATACAGAAATAAATAAATGCTCAATAAATGTATAAGCATACAATTAATTGCCAACAAAAAAGTGAGACATAAATGTATATAACTGTTAATTAGCTTCTTTATTTATTTGCCTTTGTAATATTTACCTTATTTATTTTTCTGTCCTTTATAATCTTCAACTTTATTTTTTAATTACTTATATTTTTTTTAAGTATTTATTTATGTGCATGTTATTATATTTTTGTCTGTTTTATTCTTCCTTTGTATTTTTTTACCTTAGTTATTTCTTCGCCGCTGTTTATTTCTCTATGCCCTTTTTACATTTCTCTATGCCCTTTTTACATTTCTGTATGCATTTCTATCTCATTATGCAAATGAGGAGGGGGTGTGTCCTAGAGAGTCAACTTCTGCTCATTGGTTGGCTTGGCTGTCCATCTTCTTAACTCACAGAGCTCAGAGTACTAAGTTAAATGTTCTCTTTTCTGTTGTTCAATAAAAGTACGTTTTAAGATCATTTGAGGCGAGAACCTTATACTTTTAAGCATCACCATGTGGCCCATTCACAGATTTAATACGTAATTTAAAAGAAAATGTGACGAACTTGAGAGGACCGCGGCACCAGCGGAGCTCCGAAGCTGACGGCAGCCAGGTCCGACCACAGCCCATCTGCAGCGGCCCTCTCTCGGCATAGCCGTGTGTGAAGCGTGTTGGTTAGCATTTTACTACATCGGTCGAATCTACAGGAGGAGAGTCTGATGTCGAGTCTGAAGTCATTAGAACTTGAGTAGGGACTTTGCCAAACTTTGCCAAATACAACAAAAAATCGCCATCATAGCCTGGCTATAGACCTGGCTGCCGTCAGCTTCGGAGCTCCGCTGGTTGCCACGGTCCTCTCAAGTTCGTCACATTTTCTTTTAAATTACGCATTAAATCTGTGAATGGGCCATATGGTGATGCTTAAAAGTATAAGGTTCTCGCCTCAAATGATCTTAAAACATACTTTTATTGAACAACAGCAACAGAAAAGAGAACATTTAACTTAGTACTCTGAGCTCTGTGAGTTAAGAAGATGGACAGCCAAGCCAACCAATGAGCAGAAGTTGACTCTCTAGGACACACCCCCTCCTCATTTGCATAATGAGATAGAAATGCATAGAGAAATGTAAAAAGGCAGAGAGAAATAAACAGCGGCGAAGAAATAACTAAGGTAAAAAAAATACAAAGGAAGAATAAAACAGACAAAAATATAATAACATGCACATAAATAAATACTTAAAAATATAAGTAATTAAAAAATAAAGTTGAAGATTATAAAGGACAGAAAAATAAATAAGGTAAATATTACAAAGGCAAATAAATAAAGAAGCTAATTAAGAGTTATATACATTTATGTCTCACTTTTTTGTTGGCAATTAATTGTATGCTTATACACTTATTGAGCATTTATTTATTTCTGTATTTATTTTTAAATATGGCAGAGTTGGTCCTTCATATGGCTTCAGATAGCCCATCACTAGTTATCATAACTATTGTATATCTTCAATCTTGTGCCTCTGTTAATTTGCAGACGTGTGATCAATCAACCAAACATTGTAAAGATCACGGTTGGTCAAGAGGGAACTGGTGAGTGTTTGCTTGGGAGCTAGCATGCTAGCACTAGCCTCCCCAGCCTGTTATAGTTATACACTGAACTAAATTGAAATGCTTACCAAAACTACTGTTCTGTAGAAATACTGTTTTGCATAAGTTGCATTTAACTATTATGTAAACTCCTGCATTTATAAGAAAATACATGTACATGTAAATTGATTATTTAGGCCTGTTTACACAGGCCAGGTATATTGCAGATCCCCCTCAAGGCGTGGCTGAAGGGTCTAGGATACAGCAAAGATTGTCTGGCTTCATGCTGACCAGACTGGCGAGCTAACCGCTTAACGGATTGGGAGATACATCACCTAGTATCTGAGGAAACTCTTCTGAACTGGTTGGAGATTCAGCCCAACAAGTCTCCACTGAAGGAATTGGATTATTATTATTTTTGTTTTTTCTCCCTTTCATCATCAACAAAGACTGGCTGACTTCCTTGGTTTAAGGAACCCATTTGGACTTTAAAATTGTGGAATAACTTGTGTATATATTGTAAATAATAATACAACTCACTAATTTTGCACCATCAAACTGTCTCTGTGTTTTACAATTTGCCACCTCCTCCAGCAGACGAACCTAGTCTATAAGAAATCACATGGGTTGACTTTAATTTGGGTTATTTCTAATCCTAATAGTCCTAGAATGCAACTTGGGTTACACTTACTTTCTAACTTTAATCAATGTGGAGAAAAAAATGTTAGAACTTAACTTGAAGCAGTAATTGTTTTAATTTTTAAGAATGATTTTGTTCATTGGCCTATTTCTAATCAGATTTGTATGCTTTATCAATTTTTCTGAAAAGAAGGAATACAGCAAAATACATTTACAAGCAAGAGCGCATCTTAAAGACAACTAAAAGCAAAAATAGCTTTAATGCAGCAAAAGGTAACAAATGTTTATGGCTTTTTTGTTTTGTGCATATTCTACACCTATATTGTAGATAACATAAGAGAACATCAGAGGATAGAAACAAATTGAAGGGAAGCATTTAGTCTGGAAAACAAGTGCATAATTTTCTTTAAGAAATGCTGTTCCCCAAGATTGTCATGATCTTGGCACCTTTAGGCTGGGTTCTACTCCTTTTTCTCTCATCTGCTTTGCTCTGCCCTGCACTCATTATCTCTCATCACACTCATCTGTTGCTGCTGCTATTTAAGCCTCCGGATCCCAGCCTTTGGTGCCAGACTATTCAAGCTTCTAGCGAGACTAGCTCTAGCGTTCCCTGTATTTAGTTCTGCAAGTTCATGACCTGTTTCTGTCCACGGTCTTCTGAGTTTTGGCCACTCCTGTTTTGCTCTGTTTGCCGGTCCCGTTTTTCTGGACTGTTACCTGGATTCCTCCTGTTGATGACCTTGGACCTGTCTTCTGACTATGGCTTGGATTAACCCTCCTGGATCCTTCAGTTCCCCTGCGTGCTCTGGCTGCTGCAAGATGCTGCTCCTCTTCTCTCCTGAATCTCGGGTACCGGCTCAGTAACAAGCTACAGAGTTCCGCTTCTCTGGACTTCAGCCCTTCTTCTGGGCTAGGACTAAACTTTGCCAGGTCTGTGGCTTTTATGGTCATAGTCGTTCCTCATTTGAGTTTAAGTCACGGACCTTAGCCTCTACTCCTGCAGAGATTCCAGTGAGCCTGCCACAGCAGACGAACACCCACACGCTTTGTTCAATAAACGCCCTTTAATATGTCACTGTCTGCCTCACCTGCATTCTGGGTCCTACTTTTGAGCCTTCTAACAAGGATGGCTTTATTCAGATGCATTCAATGATTCCCATGCTTAGATGGGACTTTAATGGTCAGATAGCATGTTTTTTTTTTATCTTAGAACAATTATGGTATCACAGTTTCCATTTGTTTGAGTTTTTCTCCTGCCTCCTTGGTAAACCCAAACCACACACTCTGAATTTATGTGATCTTTCTCTATATTTTATTACTAACAGAAAGTTTAGGAACATCTGAGGTAATCTTTGAAAGCTTTGTCATCCCTGAGGCCATTTAAGAGGTTCTGCTATACACTATTCTCAAACCCATCAACAGTAGTGTAAAATGTGTTTGCCTCCAGACAAAATTTTTCTGCTTTCAGATTATCAAACAGATTTTAATATTGACCAAAATATCCAGAGGAAAAACAAAAGAATCTCACTAGACATTAAATGCCTTGGATTCTGTGCCTCTCTACCTCCAGAGTGTAAATCCATATTTCACAAATGAGTTGAAATTCTATTCATATTTCATATTATATGATATTTCATATCATATTTCAATCTGAAATTTTGAGTTCCATATGATGTCTTCTTGGTCCAGCCAAGATGCTTTTCAAATAGTCTCTTAATGAGTGGCCTGAGACTGACAGCTGTAATCTGTGCTGTATATGTCTGTCTGGCTCTTAAAGTTATAACTTCAGAGCTTTAAGCGTTTTGAATCAGCCTTAATCTCTGAAATGGGCTTTCAACATGAACTCAACTCTACCCATTTAATTGTGAGCCTTTTTCTTCCGCATGTTTCCTTTCTATTGAACTTTCCATTAATATGCTTGGATACCTCACTCTGAAAAGTCAGCTTCTTTAGCAATGGCCTTTCCTTTTGAAGGGCTGCCAGCAACTATCTGCTGGAGAAGACAAGAATCTTATCCATAATTGTATGGACCATTACATTAATGCTACTAAAAAGGAAATCATTTATTTATTGCCCTAGGTAATACTCTTCTTTTTTTTTTTTTTTTGAAAAACATTACTTTGAGACATTTAACTCTGTGAAATTGATATGTCACAAGGCATCATGTCCATTCATCATCTAACTTATGCATGGGCATGTGTATGTTTAAAACAGACCAGGTTTGTGCAAATCAGATGGAAAAAGATGAATAAAACTAGACAGTTGGATACTTGCAGGAGCAAAGATCATAACCATTCATGTGACGCAATACAACCAGGAAAGAAGACTGATTCACACACTTGCACTCTCGACCTCCAGGTTCCTGGAAATTTATAGAACACCTTTTTTGTCAGAGGGGACCAGAGGAAAGCCACACAGGCAAAGGGGAATAAGACTTCACACATACAGACCCCTGCTAACAAAACTTGTAAACAGACAACCTTCATCCTTTGTGGGAATAGAGGTTTGCAGACATTCTAGCTCAGAGGAAACAGGGACATGTTTTATTCTGGAAGGAAAAAAAGGAGCAAAAAGACCATGAAGCAAAGCACAGAGAAAACAAACACAAAACAAAATATCAAGCTAGCAAAATAAGAAGTATTGATATGTAAAAAGCATATATAAGAGAACAATAAAAACTATAGATGACTTTCTTGGGATGAAGAAAGCATCAATTATTAACTAGTTTTATATGCGTGTATGGATGAGAGCCATATGGACGATGAGAAAAAAAATTTAAATCCTTCAATCAAGTTGGAGGTAAAATTAAATCAAATATTGATTTATACTTAAAAGAGGGTTACCTGTTTGTTTGAGAGTCTATCTTTTCTTATAGTTTCTTAAAAATCATATTAATACCCACCGGACATTAGGCTCCTATTTATGCATGTCCTGAAATACTTTAAGATCAAATAGTATTCATCATCGTGGTGTTTCAGTTTTGATGAGTCAAAATCTAAGCTCCTTAATTTTATTTTTACCCTGTAAAACCTGATGCAACTCGCATTATTAAAACACAACTGCAAAGTCCTTCCTTGCTTTCTTTGCACATTCGGTGTCTGCCACATTTTCTGAAACCCCTGTTCTACTGTGTAGAACAATAAATGACTCAAAAGCCGTTCATATTTTATTGCAACACTTTAATAACTCATTGAAAATGTAATAAAATCTAATTTATTGGAGCAGATTTATTCACTAGAGAGGCACGCAATCTTAAGGAATGATTGTTTCCATGAATATCAGGAGTTATGGAGCCAAAGAATCAGGTTAAAAAACACAAATGAAAATAACTAAAGCCTTTTTTAATCATTCAATCCCGGGGAAGGATAAGAATTCCTGGAAGTGTGTACTTTAGTCCAATATTTTGCTTTTCAGCCAGAAACTCTTTGGATTGAAACAAAGAATACACGTGTGTAAAAAAAAAAAAAAAAAAAAAAAACATTAATGAGAGGAGGAATATTGTAAGTTCTGATTTTATCAATATTAATGTAAAAACATATTTAACTCAGTCAAAAAATCTAAGTTATATATGGAGTGTTACTTGCAGCAACATTAACTCCATACAGAATAGTGTGGAAAATCAGCTTACATTCACAATGTCCAAAAGGATAGAAATAAAAATGGATCAATGGATAATTTATGTTATTATTTGTATTTTACTTATGTTCCACAGTATCAGAAATAATGAAATCTTAAACTGTGTTACAGATAAAGCTCACACTAAAACAAGAGACAAATGTTATGTAATAAGAGCAACCTTTTTTAATAATTTTTTTTTTTTTTTAAGGGACAGTGTCAAGTCTCGGAGCAGTGGACCCAGTATAGAAAGAGAAAATCTGCAGTTATTTCAAAACTGTGGATCTGCAGTAACAGCGAGGACGTCTCAGGCAGGAACCTCCGCAGGACGAAAACTCAGGTTAGTGACCATGTTAATCTGATGGAGGATGATTATGTATGTATAAGTCACTAACCTGGTTTTATAATTTAGAACGAAGTAGGATCCAGCCCGTGGGTTGTCAACAAGATGCAGCAGGCGCCGCACAGAGTGTCGTAAACGCAGCAGCCCCAGAGGATGGTGAACGAGCAGAAGACCAGATCCAGGCAGGCGAAGGAGGGCAGAATAATCCAGAGGGCAAAGGCAAAGCTGTTAAAAAAGGAAATTGTCAGGATTCAGAACCAGGAGATGAGAAGTCAGAAGAGGTTCTGAACAGAAATCCAGGTCCGTGACAGGAAACAGCTCCAAGTTCAGCAAACAGGCAGAATCCAGCAGAAGTCCAAAGACAGTTTAGGCAAACATATCAGAATGGGAACAGGCAGGATCGTTGGTTGAGAGGCAGAACAGGTCAGGATCAGGTCATCAGAAACCCTAAGGTAACGTTGGAACAGTCTTACCACTGGCTCGAGAATAATCTCATCAGATGATTGGAAGCAGGCAGGGCAAATAGAGACAAGAGCCGGTGGATCAGATGAACGGTAATGAGGAAACGGGCAGAGCTAGGTAGGTGACTGAAAAGAGTAATCAAGGCAGTCATGAGCGCAAATATCATCAAAGAAAGTGAAACAAAACATAGTAAAAGAAAATCTTTGCTGTGATGAGATGACAAAGTATTTATAGTTAATACTAATTTTCAACAAAATTCACTGATGTACTGTAAAGATTGCTCTAGATTGAATAATCATTCTGATCTTGACCTTTAGCTTTTATAGACAAGTTTCAATTATTTGTTAAAGCACAAAAAATATCTGTGTAAGAGTTAACTTTCTTAAG